CAAGCTCCTGTCTCCTCCCCCCAAGAGTTGGAGTGAGGAGGTGGCATCTCCCACCCCCAGAGCTGTCACCTGTGGGTGCTACCAGGAGTCCTTCTGTCCTCCCAGAGTGTCCCCGTGTCCCCTCCCCACGTCCCTCAAGGATGTCCCCCTGTCCCCCAAGAGTGTCCCCTGCCCGTGTCCTCCTGTCCCCTAAGGATGTCCCCATGTCCCCAAGGTTGTCCCCACGTCCCCCCAGAGTGTCCCCTGCCTGTGTCCCTCAGGGATGTCCTCCAAGAGTGTACCCATGTCCCCCAAAGATGTCCCCATGTCCCCATGTCCTTCAGGGATGTCCCCCAAGAGTGTCCCCATGTCTCTTCAGCAATGTCCCCACATCCTTCAAGGTTGTCCCCATGTTCTCCTGTCCCCCAAGGGTGTCCCCATCCCCCCTGCCCATGTCCCCATGTCCCCCAAGGACGTCCCCATGTCCCCCAAGGATGTCCCCATGTCCGTCTAGCAATGTCCCCATGTCCTTCAGGAGTGTCCCCATCTCCTGTGCCCATATCCCTATGTCCTTCAGGGATGTCCCTATGTCCCCCAAGGATGTCCCCATGTCCCTCTAGCAATGTCCCCACATCCTTCAAGGTTGTCCCCATGTTCCTCTGTCCCCCAGGAGTGTCCCCATCTCCCCTGCCCATGTCCCCATGTCCTTCAGGGCTGTCCCCATGTCCCCCAAGGATGTCCCTTTGTCCCTCTAGCAATGTCTCCACGTCCTTCAAGGTTGTCCCCACGTCCCCCCCGAGTGTCCTCTGCCCGTGTCCCTCAGGGATGTCCCCCAAGAGTGTCCCCATGTTCCTTTAGCGATGTCCCCATATCCTTTGAGGTTGTCCCCATGTTCCCCAAGGGTGTCCCCATCTCCCCTGCTCATGTCCCCATGTCCCCCAAGGATGTCCCCATGTCCGTCTAGCAATGTCCCCATGTCCTTCAGGAGTGTCCCCATCTCCTGTGCCCATATCCCTATGTCCTTCAGGGATGTCCCCATGTCCCCCAAGGATGTCCCCACATCCTTCAAGGTTGTCCCCATGTTCCTCTGTCCCCCAGGAGTGTCCCCATCTCCCCTGCCCATGTCCCCATGTCCTTCAGGGCTGTCCCCATGTCCCCCAAGGATGTCCCCATGTCCTTCAGGGCTGTCCCCATGTCCCCCAAGGATGTCCCCGTGTCCCCCAGGGGTGTCCCCATGTCCCTCTGGCAACGTCCCCACGTCCCCAAGGTTGTCCCCCTGTCCCCCCAGAGTGTCCCCTCCCCATGTCCCCGTGTCCCTCAGGGATGTCCCCCGAGAGCGTCCCCCTGTCCCTCAGGGCCATCCCTGTCCCCCAGCTCTGCCACCGCTGTCCCCCCCCGTGGTGTCCCC